TTCATGGGTTGTGAGGTAGCTATACAGCATACAGTTCTCACCTGAAACAGGGTGAAACCCACATAATACTCAAAGATGATGCAGCCAATGCTCCACACATCACAGGGCTGGCTCCAACCAAGCTCTAAAAAACAATGTTTTTTAAATAAAAGATCCAGTTATGGCCTAAGATTCAAAATCCCTCTCCCTTGCCCTTTTAAAAACAAAGCAATGGGAAAAACAATTCCCATTCCAGCCAAGCTCCTGATACACTGGTGGCAATATACTGCCCAGCTGGTAGCAATGCCAAAACACCAACTTAGAAAGTTGTTGGCCCTCCCAGAAAATAGCACTGTAGAGCACGTAAATAAAGCACTTCTCATCTCCCAGGGTAAACCCAGGGCAGCTATTGAGCAATGCGGAGGCAAAACGCTCCTTCATCCCGCAGGCAGCACCCAGTGCCCTCAGGGCGATGCCTGACTCTGCAGAGACCAAGCAGTACCTACCCAGTATGACTTCTGGGGCCCGGTAATGCCTGGTAGAGACAATTGTGCTGTGATGCTCATGATCAAACGTGGCACTGCCAAAGTCCACCACTCTGATGGCCGTGCTCTTCACGCTCCGCTCATCCCGCTTCTTCGTGAGAGAGAACGGTATCAGTTACTCAGGAGTTCCATGATGCGGACTTAGCCCCTTCCTTACATAGCCGAGGCTTTGCCACAGGGCGCCCCGGGAGGGGAAGGCTTCAGAGGGTACATTCGTGCTGGCACAGCCCCCAAATAAACTCTCACCAGCACACAGGTTAAGCCTGTGGTCCCTACGGCTTATTTATAGACTATGCAGGACATAGGCCCTGAGCAAGTGCATGAACGCAGTCAGTCACCCCCTGTCTCCCGGGACCATGCTCTGACTCCTCCCACCTGCTGATAAGGTCAGGGACACCAAGACCCCAAGAGAAGACCTCTAGCACGAGGCAGCGCTGTTACCTTTTCCAGGTTATAGGAGAGCTCGTAGTCAGAGTTCACAAAGAGGATGTTCTCCGGCTTGAGGTCAGTGTGAGTGAGCTTATTGTCATGCAGAACTGAGGAAGCAAACAGAGTCGGGGTGATGGAACAGAAGCAAAGCGAGGCTGCACCCACCCGAAGAGCGGACATCGTTCAGTTTGCTCACGTGGGCACCAGTTGAGCCCACATTTAGAACTGGGTGTGAACAGTCAGGCTAGTCCAGGCCAAGATGCTTTGGCAGAAGCAGAAAGATTTATTGTATCGGTCACCAGAATGTGTGTGTGGAGGTGGATGCTGAAGTGCCCTGAGCTACCGCCAGCCCACATGCATCGGAAAACAGTACAATCAGGAAAAGAAAAAGGACTCATTCCAAGCATGCATTCATGGCTGGAGGGGCAGGAAGGCTCAGTCTCAGAACTGGCACAGCGGCACCGCAGCAAAAACTCACTGCTTTGGGCCACCAGTTGCAAAACTGGCAGGGACGTTGGGGGCTGCACAGCTCTCCAGGTCAGTCAAGGACCAGCGGAGAGAAGAGCAGTGAACACTTACATTTCACAGCCTGGCACACCTGGTAGGCCATGTGCCGTACTTGGTGGATGGGGTAAGGCAGATAGTTGTTGTCCTTCAGGAAATCAAAGGTGCTGAGCCCCAGCAGTTCGAAGGAGATGCACATGTGGCCATGGTAGTCAAACCAGTCAAACATCCTGACACAGAGACTGAGAAAAAAATTCTGATTCGGGACAGATCTGCACACACCACTCGGCTGCTATCCCTGCACCAGGCTCCTCCTTTTCCTCCTCAGTCTGTATCCCACAGTGAGCCAATATGCCTCCAAGAACTAGCTACAGATGAATTCAGTCACACAACATCGAGTATCTCTCTCAACCCATCCTTGCAACTGTGCTGCTAAGGCAATGCTTGCCCTTCCATTTTGACCAAGAGCACACTCACTTTGTGTTCTCAGGATCCTTCTCGTTGATTTTCTCCAGGACATTAATTTCCAGTCGAGCAGCCTCTTTGTATTTCTCTACATTTTTAATGATTTTGAGAGCAACACGTGCACCACCCCTGGGCAGAAACAGGAAGAAAGCACAAGATCACCCCTGCGCTGGGTCAGAGAGCCCGTGCCCTGCAAGAAGTGCTTTCTGATCACAGCCTGATCCTCTGCAGCACAGCCTTCCACCACCCTTGCTCAAGCCAGAAGGTGGCTGTCATTAAGGGATGTCCACCCAAGCAGTGCCTTTTCCCTCCCTGCAAACAGCCCTGAGGCTCCCTGACCCCTCTCCAACACATGAGCGGCCCGAGAGGGCGAATGCCCAGACCAGCACAGGAACACTGGAAACGAAGACGCTCATTTTCATCCCCAGGCTCCCACTTTAAGCACAAAAAGCTCCAGCGCCAGCCGTGGTGTCTCTCCCTCCCTCCCTCCCCACCATATCCCTACCTGTCCCAGGAGCAGACGTACCTCCGGTGATCAATGCACTGCACCACTCTGCCGAATGTGCCTTCCCCTAAGGTGCTAATAATCTCATCTGGGAGGGAGAGAAAGAGAGGAAGGCAGATGAGAGCGCGAGCACGACCTGGATGCAGCGCATACACAAGGCAGAGGAGAATGCATTGCAACACCTAACCTGCACACAGCTTGAGAGACCGGAGCAGCGGAAGGCTGACACCGGCTGCACAAGGCAACTGCCCTAGTTCCCTGGCACTTCAGTAACAATACAAAATATAAACGTAGCTTTAACAAAAGGGGAAGGAAAAGGAGAGGGTTTCTCTTTAATAAACAATGAAAATAAAATGAAACAGAAAGATAAGACAGATCTGCGACTGCGATGGGAGCTTAACTAGAGAGCTAAATTATGTTACGATTTGGCTGTACATCTTTCTTGTAGCCAGTCGCCGACGCGATAGATCAGATGCCCCTCGTCGTCGTCCTCCACACTCTTGGCCCTTCTGCTGCTCTGTCGACTCCGCTGCTGGCCCAGGCAGACAGGGAATTCATCATTCACCAATCAGATTTTCAAACCAGCGCAGCAGCCAGCGTCACGCATTGGTTGGTTTGGAAATTCACATGGTTGTTTGAGGAGGGGTTGCAGGAGGAGATTCCCAGCCAATTCATACGGCACAGAGGAATATATAACGATAGGGATATTGCAAGGGAACATGTCAAGATACAACACACTAGCTCAGAAAAGAAAAAAACAGTTTGCTTTTCGTTGTAGCAAAAAAAAAAAAAAAAAAAGAAAAAAAGAAAAAAGAACCTACAAACAGCCCCACCCGAACCAGTGAGAGAGCAGAAATGGTCAGAACAAGGGCGAGTGGAGGGGCAGTGGAAGGGGCCAGCTGCTCTCACTCCTAGGGGGGCTTGGAGAGGAACGGCACTGGCCTTCGGGTCCTGGATAATGCCAAGAGAGCACACCGAAGCCCAACCCTGCAGCCGGGCGCTCAGTGGCTGTGGGTTGAGGCTGACTTCAGCCCCACGGCAGCCACTGAGGAAAGGCTGCAGAAGGCAGGTGCTGGGAAGTCCTGCACAAGCAAAGGGCCAGGCTGCCCCACACAGACGCTCCCCATCCCATTCCAACAACCACCCACATCGCTTCCCCCAGCCCCAACACTCAGAAAAAGATGAACTCAGAGATTTCAGAAGCAACTCTCGGTACAACGATCCATCCAAAACCAGAGAGAATTTATGAGTGACTGCCTGGGGGAAGATGTGACACTTCTTCCTAGACCCTCCCCCCAAGAAGCTGATCCTGGAAGAACTAACTTCCAGGAGAGAAGCAGAGGCCCAACAGGGAATAGGACAGCCTAGGATGAGGCAGACAAGAGGTTTATGCCAGAGAAGAGAAAATTCCTGCCTTCAGTTCTTCAGCTAAGTATCCCCACACCTGGGAGCAACCAGCCAGCAGACTTGGGACCTGAATCCAGCCCACAATCCCATCCCTGGACACACAGCCAGAACAGACCAGACAACACTGAGAGCTCCACACACAGAGCAGAGAACGTGTCTGGGGTCTAACAGAAGTGGAAGGTGAACAGCAGAACAGACAAGAGAAAGCCAGGGACACTGCTGGGAAGAGCCTGCGATGGTTGCTGCCTCCACCTGAATTGACCGGTCCACAAGCTCTACTCCTTCGCAAAGCCCCTCACACGACATCCCACGTCAGCTGGGCCCACCCAGAAGGATCCTGCTCTGACACAGGACCTAACTCTCAGAGACAGGGGGGCTTCCTGCCACAGAACACAGGCCCGAACCAGGGACCACAGGGACCAAGCCGCCTGTCGCAGGCAGACCGAGCTCTCTGGGACCAGGATCAGCCGAACGTTTGCTGCACAAACCTTGCACAAAAGACTGCTTGGCTGGGGTTCCTAGACAGCTCTTAACGAGCATCACCAAACAAAAGCAGCGCTCTGCAGGGATAAAGGAGCTGAGGACTGCAGCACCACCCCGGGGGGACACACCAGCCTCACGAGGCACGCCTGTCCTCCTCCCACCTCTGAGCAGGCAACACTAGGAGAGCGTCTGAGCCGCCTGCGCCCAGCTGGCACAGGGAAGCCACTGCCGAGGCGCATCAGGATGGCGGACAGGAACTGCTGTCTGCGTCAAAGGCTTTCTATGCATTTCTCAAGCTGAGTCCGAGAGAGCGTTAGAAAGTGAGTTTTCTACTTACCCAGCTCGCCACCTGGGAGAGAAAGGTTACAGGGGAGGCCCAGCAGAGCAGGATACTCACCGATGAGGAGCGACTAAAGGACCGGCTGCGGCGCCGTCTCCGCCTGTGCTTACGCCGGCTGCTTTTGCAGCTCCGGTAGCTGCCCTCGCGGTCCCGGGAGCGTCGGTACTCGTAGGAATGACGGTACTCGGGTTCATAGTAGGCTTCCCCTCGCTCGCGGCTGTAATCGTTCCGACGGTAGCTGTCACAGTAACGCCGGTCGTAGGCCCTCCTGTCTGCTGAGTGGTCGTCGTAGCTGGGGGCGGGGGGAAGGCAAGCCGAAGGCGTTCAATTATCAACACCACCCGGGAGGTTACGGCTCAGAGCACACGAGTGAACAGGGCTCAGGCCGCCCAGATGCTGGGCTGACCACAGCTGCCTCCAGCTGAGCTGGAGAAACACCACGGGGTTTGAGGTCCCACCTCGTCTTTGCAGACTCACCTCCTGGATCGAACGTGGTAACTGTCCTCCCGACGGTGCCGACGGTCACGCTCGCTGCTGCTCGATCGTGACCGTGTCCGCCGTCTCTTGTGCTTGCGACTTCTGTAGCGCTCATGATAGCTGCCGCGGCTGCTGCGCTCCGACGAGCGGTACCTTCTAGAGTGAGGCATCTGCAGGGACAACAGACAGCGATGACTACGTGCGGCAATTGCAAGGGAGAGAAACCAGTACAGACCACCAGCAGCCAAGGAGGTGCTAGGGGCGAGGAGGGGGGAGGCAATCAGCAGTGCATCCAAGTGTGCACGGGGAATTTGAGAAGGAGGGGACAAACTTCCGAGAGATCCCAGAATCCCATACAAGAGAGGATGTGACAACCCACACGGGCCGTGCCTGCTGCGGTTCTGTTTTCCAGGTTACTTTCCCCCTTCACCCCCCATCTCTACTGGTCACAGCTCCAGAAGCAGCATTTGCACTTTTGGGGCTCCTCCCCAGGAAGGAGCAAAGCACCAGCAAGGAAAACTGAAGGAAGGTGAAACGGAGCTCAGGAGCGCTTGGCCCAGAGTCCTTGTGCATTGGTACTGGAGACACCCAAGCGGGCAACTCCTGAAGGAATGTCTCCGGTTTTCTGCCAAGCAAGCAACATCTACACTTCCCACTACAAGCAGGGAGGGCCCTACAGCATCCAGGAAGCAAAACCACCCTTTCCACGTGCAGAGGGGTTAACAAAGCCTTGTAGATCCCACCTCAGAGGGAAGGGGAGCTCACCTCTACTGCCCTGTTGGGACGTGAGAGTCAAGAGGGAAGGAGAAAACCCCTCGGTAAGGTGGCACACCACGCCCCAACCCCGAAGCGCTAGTTTTTAGGATCCCACTCCCTTGGCCAGACCTCGCTCCACAATTCTAAGACGTTCTCCACACGTATTTTAGCTCTGAAGCATCAAACAGCAAAATCTGCCTCACCTCCAAAGGAGCTCTCGTTATCCACAGACCTCCCACCACCAAAAGGTTCGCTCCTGCGGGCTGCCTCCCCGCATTCGCACCTGCTCTGATATCACAGGGCAGAGCTACCAAAAGGCAAAATCGCCCCCCCGGTGATGTGGCGACCTGGGGGCTCGGGCTCGTTACAC